ACCAGCCTCCGGTCGCATTGATCCACGGTCTCGTGGTGTGAATCCTGCCGTCTTCTGGTACAGAAACGGATTGTCGTTGAAATCCTTCCTGCTCGATAGTTTTGCTGCTATCCGGTTCCGGCTTTGGTCAAGAGAGTGGCTATCTCGTCTTATACTTCCCTTCCTCTTGTCGCTTAAGTTAGTCTACGTTCCTCCTGTCGAGGGTCTTCAGCCGACACATACCGACATCGATCATCCCGCCTATGACAACCTTTGCGTTAGACTCCCGTCATCGATAAGGCCTGCGTTCTGTGCTGTACTGTGATTTGGCAGAGTAGGATCCAAGTGGTACGACCTTCCTACCGATGGAGGCGAGGTTGGGGACGTACCGCTAGGAGCGGAAGACGTAGTACTCTGTCCGGTCGGTGGGGATTGTGCAGAGCTCGAAGTAGGCGATTAGAAGCATATCGGGCTAGCAGCTGCCACTGTGTCGTGGCTCAAACCGGAGGTTGTCATTTAGACTTTAAGAAACTGATAACTTATTACATCGCTAAGCTGGGGGTCTAGGGATTTGAGGCATAATATGATATATCCATCCATATGCTGTAGAATTTATTTAGAATTCTCAACCAAAGGCTTTGCTGAAAAGTAGCAAAAACACAAAGTCTCACGTTTTGTCATCTGTAACGACGGCGCGGGTATTGTGGCACTGGCGGCTGGCAAATGAGAAGCGCGGTGATTTGATTTGATAGTTTGTATGTCACAGATCTTGGCTCATGAATCAGGGTTTTACCGTTTATACTTGGTTAAATGTCTTTGGATAAAGTTGCTGTTTACTTGGTCGGCGTCCCTAAAGCTACCACCCGACATGTGCGCTCTACTTCATATGGCATCTCGTGGGCATTACCCGAGAACAGAAGACCACCTGCCCATAATGAGTTAACTTAAGACGTAGAGGTAATGTGAGGAGGAGAAAAGCTGCTTTGGTTTGGAGGGAGTATTGTTACTAAGTCTTATTTGGACGTCGTCGGAAAGATGTGAACATACCGGCGATATGGCTCCACATCTTCACAGAGCGCGAGCACTATTAAGATGCTTAGCCTGTCTGTAACTTTGGATACCTCTTCCGAATGTACATGTCTCAGCTCTGTCTGCTATTATCAGTAGCCGTGCTAACTAAGGTCCTCCACAGCTTTTTCCACACGGCAGATCGACTTGCTAGACGAAACACACGACGGCTGTCTTGGAATGAAGGCACCTCTTTGTAAGTAGAATTACTATGGTATTCCCGTATAATAGATTGTTCAGCCATATCAACTATGTAAGCTGACCGTCCAAGAGCCACAAGCCCATAGATACCGTCGACTGTTTCTCTGGACCCTTAGCTTACCTCCGTAGCTCTGGAAACCAACAGCTTAGCTTGTTAGCATGCCAGTTGCGATTTGGCCACAGACGCACGCTACCCAGCACAGAATCACTCTGCGGCGTTCTTTGGCCAGCGTTCGTATCCCTCAAATCAGAGCCTTAGATCTGCTAAGGCTATTCTAATTACCAAAGGCACGAGCCTTAGAGTTTGAGCAAATCTTAGCTTAATACTAGTCGGTACGTTCAAGGATATAAGACAAGCCGATCTAGACGCGGCATAATGCTCGGCAGGGACACCTCTTGATATCTGATATCTCTATCATGGCAGTACTGGCCCCCGCTCAGCCGCTAAGCACACGTTGTCCCGTCCCAAAGTGTTGACCCTGCGTCAGCCAGACCATGAGTTTCTTGGTCCTATGCCCAGGGTGCCAGAAGACAACAGTGACATGCCATGCCTGTGTCGGTAGGCTCATCAAACGTATTGAGATTCCTCGTCCATATCGTGCCCAATGCCAGTGGTTGTTCGATGAACAACACCGACCAACAACGAAATACACGACTACGCCGGGCCCCATGGACTTTAGCCACGTCAGCATCTCAGAACATCTCCGTCTCGAAGCTCGCTTCCAGCACTTCAGTTCCGACTCCCAGCAGTCGCAAGCTTCCGCATAAATGACGCAAAGCCATACACAGGTGTCAGCCATCAGTGGCTTAGCTGCAGGGTGAACACACACGCTCTTCTTTTGTGAGGAAGACATGACGATGCTAAAAGCTCTTTCTAATGTTTGTCGTCTTTTTCTTTTACCCGGGAATGGCAATGGGATCGGGCAGTAGAGTATCAGTGAGGTCGCGCTCCGTAGGGGAGCGCGAGTAAAGTCCCGCTCCGCTATGGAGCGTCAGTAAGGTCACGCTCCGCTATGGAGCGTCAGAAAGGTTACGCTCCGCAGCGGAGCGTCAATGACCTTGCGCTCCGCTATGGATCGTCAGTAAGGTCGCGCTCCGCAGCGGAGCGTCAGTGATATGGCGCTCCGCTATGGAGCGCCATCAAGGTCACTGCTCGCATCACCTGCTGTCCTTACATCGAAAGCCATGTCAACTCACCTCGATGTCATCGCTACGGACCTACAGCGAGCATTTGAAGGACGTAGCTTTCCAGCTTCCTCACCTCCAGAGGTTAGCCACCTCTCTCGTACAATTGAAAAGCGGACAGCTGACATATCTAAGCACAGTCCCTATCATTTCCGGCACTGCTGGGCGAAGATCAACAGGGTCCATGTCGATATCTTCGGTGTCTGTGGCACGGCCCTTACCTTTGTCCCTAAAATTACGAGGGAGAGGAATCCCAAAGTGCAGACGATGGTGTTTGGGTTGAGATTTGGAGAGGTTATCACTGGGAAACATGCTCTCGTCGAAATCCTCCGGAGGCATGTCATTGTTATCGAGGACCTCAGATCAAAGCTCATGGTCAAACTCATTGATCGCCTCGGCGTTGTCAGTGCCCATTGGCTATCGGATAAAAACAATCTGGCGGTGACGAGCCCGTTCCTCCTCTTCTTGGGGGTCATGATAGTAATTATAGTCGCTTACGTAGTAAGAAGCGTCATCATCAACTTCAGCCAAGGCCTGTTGGATTACCACGAGCTAGTCGTGCGCCCTCTTCAGAGAAGGACGTGTCTTGCTGTTCTTCCCTGGAGGGCGGCTGATGAGGTCGTCGATCTTGTTCTGCAGCGAGACGTGCTTCTCCTCCAGCTCAGTTTTCGACGGTTCCGCGGCCGGGCGAGCAACCCATGCATGGTTGGCAAGAACACATACTTACGCATGGATGCCCCAAGAAGCCGCAGGCAACAAGCGCCGAACGACCCATGTGCTGATAGGACGAGCCCTTCGGTATCATGACTCCCTTTTCAACTGTGGATCCTACTTCGGAGCACCCGGCTTCGGATGTTTCGGGAGCTGACGGGGTGTATTCTTCGTCCTACTCCGTCGGTTCTCCCACAGTGATATCTAGGGCCTTGCTTGGCTCGGAGACACCAGAGACCAGTAGAATACAGCAAGGGCCAGGCAATGTCATCGACAAGGTGGCGCGCTCGTTGAGGCTGGACATCGGTGCTAATTCTGGTGACTCAGCTGAAGTTATTCAGCCTAGGACCCCGTCGTCCACCTTGCAACCAGATTTGCGAAGTCTAAGTGCCATTGTCCTCCTCACAGTATCAGACTACCCAGCCCTGGTGTCTCGGTACACGTTGGCGCCGAGGGGCACTCTAAGTATTACCGTTTAGTCATTGTATTACTTGAGCCGCTTACGCGGCACACCATCGCCTATCAATCTTGCAGCACTAATGAACCAACATTGCTCGTCTATCATAGGACCATAAGGACTTCGGGGAGGACCTAACACTATAAGGTCTATACCGACTACGGCGGAAGACGCCGTCGATGCGCGTGTTAATCACGTGTCTCTGGCGTTTGTGAACACAGAATTGCCAGGTACCAACACGGTGGTGCAAGCCGTCATGGATCAGGCCTGACTAGGGCATCTCCTAGCAAATATCCGGGATACTGACACATGCGACTCGTTAAAATGCACGGTTTTGGAGAACGCCTTTGCTGCCGTATTCACGAATCCGACGATGACGACCAAGTACTATATCACCCGTAGAATCGCGCACATTGTCGCAGCCGCTCCTCACATTAAACTGGCCGCCGTGGAAGTAATCGAGACGTATCGCATCTCACCAGACACCGCCATCACAATACGTAGTAGGGATAGTCCGGCTCACTGTCGTGCTCGCTGACCACGCCTCTGAGGCCTTTGGAGGCATTCGGATCTTACGCTCCTAAACCATTAGTTCAGCTTCGGGTCTAATACGCCATCCGTTGGGAATAGGGCCTTGCCTGCATCTGGCATTGAAGTCGATTTCGGCAGGGATGCAAAGCATCTTCAGACCACCAGTGCTGTTGGCGATGGAATATTTACTGCTCCGTGAGCAAACGACGAGGGCAAAGGATGGCAAGATGTTAGCAGCGAGCTTACCCCGTATCGTGTTGTTTGAGGCCCTATTGATCAATCACTTGACAGTAGCTTTTGGAATATGTATATGCACGGAGCATAGATTCGGGGCCGACGATCTAAGGCTATTGAGAGTCTTTGCTGTCATCTGCCATGTGCGAGAAGACAGTGGACATCAGAGACAGCCCACCGTCGCATCGAGGTCTTGCCACGGCGAACAAAGGTTACAGTAGCTCGACGTCATATCCAAGTGGAACCGGGATGATCGGATGTAATTTAGACCTTTGTACCACGGGCCTAACGACATCACCCCAAAAAAAAGGTTTTATCAATGACTCTAGGACCACGCGGGTCACAGGGGCGATCGGCACCCATCTCGTTATCCACACAAGAAGAGAATTCGTCACCTTTCGATTATCTATGAAGACTACCGTTAATGTGCTTGGATCTCCGGGAGGTTCATGTTCAACGGCACTGATTAATCAGACATGGGGCCCGAGCAATGCCCCCCTTGGAGCTCAGGGGCCTTATGCTTCTTCATGTCCCGATGAGTAGTGAAGGCAACATCGTCTCGTCCGCTAACGGCCCTGGCTAGTGGCATGATGAATACCAGTGTCAATTGCACCTTCCATGAGCATCTAATCAAGGGGGTGTAGTCTAGACGTTATGACGTCCCCTTCGCAGGTTGTTGCATCCCAATAGGGGAAGGTCCCGGGTTCAAATCCCGGCTCCTCCATTGATTTTTGTCCCACATTTTGCCGTGTTTAGATTATTTAGTAGTATTGATGATTCTTTGTTGCCGTGGTTCTCTGCACAGACTGGGGTAGCAGTGAGAAACGCCTTGCCTATTCAATCTGCTGGAAGACTGCTGCAGATAGATTATTCGCACGTGACAACGGTGTACCCGCTGGGAATGAAGGATGCAGCGGAGGAGCGTCCCCTCCAACCAACAAGCCGGAGGTGAGCTGAGACTCGGAAGAAGTTTGAGGAGCGCGAACTCCCGTTGCTGGCTGAACAGAGTAAATTAAACACGAAAAGATTTAACTGCTTAACGACATCAGAGTGGCAATTCAAGACCTCGTGGTTTGCCAGTCTTATACGGCGGTACGGATGTTTGGCAGGACGTTCTTAAGGGAGTCGCTTAACTTGACTCTGTTAGGATGATGATATTGGGGCAGGCTCTCTACAGAAAGAATTTATAAGGATATGCGGCATACACTAGCACCCCTAGGAAGATAGGCACGTAGGTAATCTCACAAGTCTTTCATATTGGGTTATCCTGAAAGGAATAGTAGGTGAGTTACACCACGTTGAACTGCATATAAGGAGAGGACGCTAGATACCAAGCACAACTACGACGACGTGAACACCTGATACCTAAGGATCAAGTACTCGTCTGTACTGTACCTAGGCCCTTCGACGTATTTCATGGATTGCATCTCGGAATCAATGCGACATTTTGTATAAATGAAAGGTATGAGAAGCCTCTTGCGCTTTCCATCTGACAGGTAATGAGAGTTTTGTCGGCGGTGCGGATAATGACCTATGATGTTCTGTGAGATGACACATCAGAAATCGGGTCAAATACCCGTAGATAGTAAAGTCCTTCAAAGACTTGTAAATTAAGTTTCCGTTACTTTGCCATTTGTCATTATATTGGCATTCCGAAGGAAACAAGGCTCGCAGGGAACTTATGACTGGCAGTGGGACACCATGCCATCCTTTGGCTTGCTAGTGCACGCTTGCTGAACTTCCTGATCCAGCCGCCACAGGTCATGTTGGCCGTGTAGAAAGGTACTTTCGAAAGAGACGAGAGGATCATGAGGCTGAGCCACTAGGACCATATTCCAGAGAGGCCGCCCTCATCAAAGCGAGACCGCTCTACGTAGTAGGTGATGCGGGCAAGAACGTCATCAAGCAGGGTGTATAAAAAAGGAAAAACCAGGCTCGCACCTAATAACCCTTTTTTAGGTGTGCCTCACGGCTGTCACCCTAGTAAAAAGAAGAAAAAAACAGAGGCAACTGGTCTTGTAATTGAGATCAGGGGCTCGAACCCTGTCAAAGCCGATGTTGAATCAGCGAACCATACCCGACGCACTTACCAACTGTACCACTGCTGTAGGAATGAAGCTGCAATTCTACTTATAAACTACCCACGGCTTCTCAGGTCCCACTCTTTTTCACTGTCACGACTTGTCAAATCTGTTCCTCTACTTTAGACTTCATTCACCGCGACTGCCTGGACTGGGGTTTCAAGCTGGCACGTGCTTCAAGAGGTGCAAACGAGCATACCCCTGGCCAACTAGCTTTCGCGCTCCTGCGCTTGTCGAATCGGCAACAGCTAGGGTGTTGTGGATAATTGAATCGGGCAAAGGCCACTTTGGCAGTTCGGCTAGGTGGCGATGCGTCTGCTAGCCCTCTGAGCGGAACAATGGAACAATGGAACAATGAGAAACGACAGCAGTGACAGCCATGACTCCAAATCTGCTAGTATGGTCACAGATCTTTGCAGACATGCTTACCAGAGCTATTAGAGTATTGTAGCCATAACATATTTTCTACAGCTCCCGGGGTAAGATACGATGTCAACTGTTGAAGATTGTTGTCATTGTTCCAGAAGCCAACGCTAGTACCACGTTAGTGCTGCACTAGAACAGCATGAGAACAGCGCTCGAAGGACCCTGGACTTTCGCTAGCCCGACGTTAGGTCTTCTGGAAGCTCCATGACCTCAGCTCCCCGGGATGGCACTGATTTTGCTCCCATCAATCTTCCACTGGAATACAGCTCTATGCTCAACCTTGACTCTCTTCTCTAAGAACTCGCACTCGCTGTTCCTCAACATCCCATTTCCATTTCATGGATGAGTTTGTGTTGATTCCCATCACACCTCAGCTTGCAATCGTCTTCGGGCCAACTTGCTTGCCTGCCGCAAAACCACGATGGCTCGTACTCCCTGCTGAAAGGCAGGACCTCCATGTCCTAGTGTACCCACTGCCCCTTTGGCGTGTATTGGTACAGAGACATACAGGGGATGGAAGGACATAGGAGTATAAGAAGGAGGGCCTCGCCCACTGTATGTACATACTCTCTTTAACCCTTATACGCTTCAATCAACCTCATTCCCCATACAATTTAGTAGGTTATGAGCCCGGTTAGCCTAGCGGTTATTAGCGTTACTTCGGTCCGGGAATAAAACGGACGCGGTTTTAGCGGAAAATCCGAAGGTCGTAAGTTCGAGTCGCCCTCGAGCCGCTTTTCCTGTGCTACCGATTACTAATACTAAGCTTACCCCGTATGGGGGAGTGGTGAAATGAATATTGTGCTGGATAAGCTTGGTAGCTCTAAGCAATCACTTTTTCCTATTTCACTAGGTACAAAGCCGAGAAGCGTAGCGACGATCTCGCCATACGTTCTCCTCCTGGCGCCATTTGCTGATACCGTTTCTCAGCCCAATGAGTCTTACACCTCAGACGCTGAGCGAAAGCAGCGAGCTGCAGTTCGGCCGGTGCCCCCTGATCAACCCCAGGCAGTTATCCCCATGGAGCAGTACGTTCTTCATCCGGCCTCTAGCTGTCATCCATTCCACTTACTCAACTTCATATTTTCCCTCTGCTCTCCTGCCTATCCTCCTTTGAGGGAGGGTTAATTTCTTTCGGCCCCTCTACCCTCTCCTAACTACATAGCTTTCGCAGCCCAATCTAACTGCTATTTCTAACTTAGAGTTACAAAGATGTCGTCCCATCCTCTTCCACGTCTTCGACAAGGCCGACGGCGCAATCTCTACGTCGTTCAAGGTGTAGCTGGCCAACGATATGACAGCCTGGTACTACAAGAAGGGCGTGTGGGAGGAATGATGAGGATTCCTTCCCACCTGCTGGATGGCTACAGGGTGGATGCGAGAGGAGCTTCAGTCGTGGGCAAATATGTTCCGAACCATATCCTCCCAAAGAGATCCAAAGCTGTCAATCGCTACAAGGTGCTGTAGCTCAGGTATCCCGGCACAGCCTGGGGAGCCCCGCTCATCATCTCATGATAGTTAACTCAAGTACCATCTCCGCTGTTGAGAGGATTCATACAGACATAGAGGCAACCAGAAGGTATGTACTTATTGTTATGATCTCTAAGTCAAAGCTAACGTGGTATCAGGCACGTCTGGAGGAGTAGGAGCAACTAGCCATTCAGAAATCGATGACCTCGATGCTAGACTCGTTCGCAATCGTGTGGGTCGACGCAGCTTCTAACATGCTCGTGATCGGCTCATCAACATCAGTGCTTATAGCTGTCATGTTTATCAGCCTTCAGTTGAGGAGTATCGTGACCGTGAGCATTCGGGAGACCACTATGAGCAGGATGATAGCTATGCTGAGCCAGATCTCGAGCCCCATCAGATCCTATTCCATACAAGCCTCTGATTGATACCTAGTTCGAATTTCGAAGGGATGTATCCATAGAGGGTACTGATGGCCATGATGAGCCTACTCCTACGAATAATCCCCGGAGAGACGTTGGAGAAGCGGCAGCATACATATATGATCGAGAAGTGTATAGTAGGGCGACAAAAATTTCGATGCACTTTAAGTCGCGACGCGACGCGCTTCAATTTCTCATTCCACTACCTCTTTTTCAATGGCTCCTAGCACTCCTAGTCTACCTCCGAGAACTCTAAAAAAGTACTACTCTCCTTACAAGAGGGCTAGGATCGCGGCTTTGTAAGAAGCTGGGTGGTCCTAGAGGAAGATCGCGCGCTACGAGGGCATCTCTCCCGGCTCGATCTCCGGGATCCTTAAACGGTACTACGTTCAGAAATCGGCTAAGTTACTCGAACGCTTAGGACGCCTACGAATACTCGGTCTACGGGACGTAAGGTACCTCTTCCGATTCATTGCTTAAGACCCTTTTATTATTTGCGAAGAATTGTAGGAGAAGGCTAATCTTAAGTGTTCCGTTCGTACTATTCAACGGGAGCTCATCTAGTAGGGCATCTAATACTCCAAGGCCTTGAGAAGGCCCAAATTGACTCCGGAGACTATTGAAAAGAGGCTTACCTTTGCGAGGCTCTATGTGAGGAAGCCGGCAAGTTGGTGGCGGCGTTAGATCTTCTCCGACGAGTCGATAATTCAACGCGGCGACGGCGAGAGGTAGAAGTAGGTTTTTTGCCAAGCCGTGAGTCTCTACCCTCGATGCGCTAAGTAAAATTGCTTAATATTAATAGAAGTCTAGGGCGAGCGGTTAAAACTAGAGAATATATAGTTAAAGGGCAAGCTAACGAGATACTCGTAGATGTTTTGGGCCGCCTTCAACTTCTGCTACGGTACTTCGTTGGTGCCGATGATGGGAGACCTTGAATCTCTCCGTAGCGGCGTTACCGGCCGCGTTGTACTCGCTTATTTGTAAGAGAACCTGCCAACTATTTGTAAGCCGGGTAGTATATTCGCCTAAGATAACGCTCTAACTTATAAGGTACGTATAGTGTAAGAGTGGTTGTAGCCGTGGGCTGTGGAAAATGGGATCGGGTTGGTGGATTGGCCTCTATATTCGCTAGACCTTAACCTTATCGAGAATCTGTGGAAGATGCTGAAAGAGGGTATCTGCGAGCGCTATCCTGACTTAGGAGATATGCCTAAGAACTAAGTAGCTATGGATCGGCTCGTTTAGGCCGCGGTGGAAGTATGGGAGGATTTCTAGGCGGACCTTTTTACTCGGCTGGTTGATTCGATGGTATAGCGGTTGGAGGC